GCTTATTAGGCTATGTAGGCAATTAAAGGCTCATTATTATGATTTATATGGTTTATTAATAAAAGTGCGACTAATTGTCGACTAATGCTTAAAATGACCGACTACTAGTCGACCAGAATTTTTTTTAGTCGAGGGCAGCCCTAATGCATATTGACTAATTGTTTACGAGAAGCATACATATAAGAGGCTGACAATTGACTGAATAAATAGCCTACTTGTTTAATTAGTGACACTTAGACGGCATTTTAAAATCTTTATTTGAATGTGGCAATTAAACTTTTACTGCTATTTAGGAGAACTCTTAGTGGTAAGATAAAATGTTTTGTGAATACGGGCCCAGGTTTTCATTTAGAATGTCTCTGTATTTTGCTGTGTTCATCTTTCCCTCCATGACCAGTCCCTGCCTCTGACAAAAAAAAAAGTATGCCCATCACTGTGCTTTACAGTTGGGATGGCATTGCATATATAACAGTATACATATTTAACGTTAAAATTCTATAAATCATAGGACAATCCTGCATGCTTCAGGAGATGCCAGACATGAATGTGATAGAGGACGACTGAGAAAAAAGAGACTGCATGACATCACTTCAATGAAGTTTGAACAGTTAAACAGTGTAACTTCAACATAAATCCTGAAACATATTGTTTTCTTTCTTTCAATAATTACATTTAAAAATATCAAGTTGTGGCTGCAATTTCTGAGTAGTTTAAATTAAATTAATGGGACTTCTGAAGGCACTGTTTCATTTGAGAATCATAGTGATTCATATATAAACAGTGCTGCCACAGTAAAACACATCACCACAGACAGCTGTCTCAATTTAGAGAGTAAAATAAAACTCACCTTTAAAGCTCTTTATGTTTTTATATTCATAACCCACTTTTTAAATGCTTAAGAAAACTTAAGCTTCGATAACGCATAATCAGGACTTCATACATTTTAATCAAAGCTTCTGCTGATTTGAACTGTCCAGAGGCTATTGAATTCACCACTTCTCTAAATTCGTGGTGTTTTGAGTGGATACAGCTTCTCCAGATGAGCTACTGTTTCCAGTCTGCCATTGGTCAGACAAACCGTTAACATAATGAACATTGTCTAGTCTTTGAACAAAATGCAGCCATCTCCTTGGACACCTATTGTATACATACTGTATAAAGAAATTACAATCCAATGGGAAAAACACACACTCATAAACAACCTAATGACTCCCCAAACAACCTAATTCTCTCTAAATTAAGACAACATTGCCAAAGTGACTAATTTGTCAGTCTTATTAAAGCAATGATGAGAAACAAACAAATCAGGTCTAGTCTGTGTGAATGATTTCTGCTCTAATTAACCCCAGGCTGCTCTCATCTCATGAGGGTCAGGGTTAATGACCTTAGAGGAGACGCAATGTAAACACAACAATGCTTGTCCTCAGAGCAAGTTAAGTGATCTCCCCAAAGTCAAAAAGACGACATAATACTCTCAGAACTTCAGAAAATGAGATATAGAACCCCCACTCATTCACAAGAAGATTGATTCAGTTTGTAGGATTTTAAGAGGAATTTAAGAGCTCAGCTGAGGTCACCCTAAATTTGGTATTTATTTGTTCATTATCAAAGATCATTTTTATCAGATTGAGATGAGCTTTTCTCCTATAATAACTATTGAAATATTGAGAGTTGGCTGTGTGTGTGCACTTGGATGGGTTAAATGCATAAATTCCGAGTTTGGGGCACCATTCTTGGCTACACGTCACTTTAACTTTCACTTTTTCAATGTCAATGTACACCTGACAGTCCTCATCCTCAGAGCAAGTTAATTGATCTCCCTAAACTCAAGAACATCATCATAATCTCAGAACTTAAATGAGAGATAGAGCCCCCAGTCATTGACAAGAGGAAGATCTGAAATTTAAGAGGTCAGCGGTCGCCATAGACTTAGTATTTATTTGTTCATTAACAATGATCATTTCCTTCAGATGGAGATGAGCTTATAATTATTGAAATATATTTATTGAAATATTGAGAGTTGGCTGCAGCGATGTATGGCAATATTAAAATCAGATATAAATATTAATGAGATGTTGCATCAAACGTATCAAGTCGACTGCCAACTGGATTTGCTTTGACAGAAGCTCCGTGTTGACAGCAAACTGACAACAGCCTTCAGTATCTGTGAAAACCTTCAAATATCTTGTTGGGAAGTTGCTTTTGCCTCATGATTGATGAAAAAAATGTTGTTTGTTCAAGTGGCATCCACATCCATATTTCCACATTATGAAAGACAAACACTTGCATTTCATTATAGACCAAAGTATTAATTTACAAAAACAAACAAATAAACAAGCAAAATGAGATGTATAATGTATAAACAAATCAAATCAAATACTCAAGTGCAGGCAAAAAAGCAGTGGTGTTCGTGTAAGGCTCAATGCAGGTGTATTTGGAATGAAATACTAGCATACTACATGCTACACAGTATATACTGCTTACTATTTTTGAATGTTAGTGTGTGAAACGTGCATTATTGTCAGGAATTTAATTTAATTTAAAAGTTTCATAAATTATTATAATGTTATTATTATAATAAAGCTTCATGTGATAAAATTCAATTGATGATTGCCTGAAGGACAGCTTAAAAAACACTTTTACAGCTGTTTAAATGCTTAAGTCCTTTGCTTCAGGAACTGTTTTTTGCGAGTGTTCTGGTAAGTGATCGTGCACTCCTTAAACTTCTGAACCTCAGTCTGACACTTCCCTATATAAATGTGTGTGTGTGTGGTTCTGGTATTTTCTATATTATGGGGTCCAAATGTCCCATAATACCAGTGTGTGTGTGTACAATTACACTATAATGAAGTGTCCAAATCCCAAATGAAAGTTTCTTTTTTCTTTTCTTCACACTTGAGTGTAGCAAAATTACCACGTTTAGTATTTCAATAAACCTGCTTTTGCAGGTTATGAATGTTTCAGGAGTTTAAGGTTTCATAACTTGTCTAGCCATGTCATTTCATATCACTGACAGGAAATGTGTGATGCAAGTAAAAAGGCAAGTGTAATTACAACTGTCACCCACTAGATTGCAGTGTTATAAAAGACAGTTGCAATGGGCTGTGTTGTTAACTGTGTACATGGTAGCTAGGTTCTAAACAAGTTACTAACTGGACATTAGCTGGTAAACCATCTTGGATTAGCAGCAAATCAGTTATCAGCTGGTAAACCCATTGAAGATTGTTGGACTGTATTCTTTATTTTTATTTTTATTTTTTACATGGTAACTAGTCACCCAGCTAATGACCAGTTTAGACCTTGTTCGAATAGGCAGGCCTGCAAGTAAACCTGGCACCATCTTTGCACTTTGCAGACCAAGCAGCTTTTGATTTTTATAAAAGACACTTTGTGAATACATTTTGTGAATACAGAACATTGTTGTTTTATCACACTTAGTATATATTGTTTCTCTCCAACCAATCGTATATTATTTATTAACTTTGAGAATGACCATGCATGCATGAACACTTCATTGTTATTTCTTTTATTGTGCAACATACAGAGAGGTTGCACAATGAAAGAAAACATGCATTGTGTTCTTTATAATTAAATAGTACAAATTAGTATGTTAAAAGTATGTTAGTATTTACAAGATAACGGCAGAGAAAGATTTTGTTGAAAAACAATGCATTTTAATATAAACACAGTATAATACCTTCACAAAAGCATTACAGAAAGCCTCCAAGACAACATTATAAATATTCTCAGCACTTTACACCTGAACCACAGTTATGTTCTACATTAATGTACATTTCTTAGAGGATGAACAGACAGTCTCTGGGTTAACAAAGAATGAATCCTGCTTCGAATCTCTTTAGTTTTCAGTGAGTAGAGGATGGGATTCACACAAGGTGTGAGGAGGGATGACAGACACAAGCTCACCAGACCTACATTGGGGTTCCAAATAATTCCAAAAAATGTAAAACAGAAGATGATTACAATAGGAATGAAGAACAAGGCCACTAATATGAGGTGCTCTGTGCATGTGGCCAGCGCCTTATAACGGCTCTGATTATTTTTCATTCTGAATACAGCAGTCAGTATACCCATGTAGGTCAAGAAAATAAAAATCAAAGGTACAGTAATGAAGAGCATAGTTAAAGCAGTGGCATAGTTCCACTGAGGTGTCGTATCACCACAAGCAAGTACTAAAACAGGAGCATAATCACAAAAATAGCTGTGGACCTCAAGAGAGCCACAAAAAGACAGGGTTGGGATGGATGTAACAGCATAGAGAATTATAACAATAGAAAAGAACCAAACTGCACTGATTATATAAGTCATTCTGGTGTTTGTGTTAATAGAGTCCTGTCTTAAAGGGAAACAGATCGCAATGAACCTGTCATAAGAAAGAATACATAAGGAAAACGGTTCAAGGGATAAAAAAGTATAATAAGTGTACATTTGCACAAGGCACAGGTTGAATGGCACAAAATTGTCTAGAAGAATGTAAGTCTTGATCATGCCAGGCACAAGAGAGGTGCTGAGAACAAGATCAACCAAAGCCAGATTACCAACAGCCATGAACTTTGGGACATGCAGACGGTGGTCATAGAAAATGATGGTGATCAGAAATACATTGCACATGACTGTGATCACATAAATCACAGTGAGGAACATGAAATAGATATTACTGTAAGACATTGAACTCAAGGCAACAATGTAAAATCCTGCAGGCTGAATGATGGAGTTGCTGGCATTTTGCATGACCGTCTTTTTTTTACGACCCAGGTTCCTTGCAGCGTGCTTTGCTTTTAGTGAGTGAGAAACCAAATACCTGTGAAAAACAGTCACAAACAGTCTGTGCTTCACAAATCACCTTTAGCATCTGTGTTATTTGAGGACATACATCTTTATGACATTCAACCAGAAATATAACAATGAAAATCTACATTTAACACATTACAGTGATTGCATTGATGATCATTTACACATACATGGAAAAGTGTTGTAGAGGTTTGTGGATAACAAACCGCAGTTTTTGTCTCCGCTTCACAGTTCTGGATCACTGTGAATCCTGAATGTGAACTTGAGAACTTTTTGGGCAATATATTGGCCAGTTTTTCCTCCAGAGGTGTCATTAAACAGAAAAGAACCGCTGGTACTGTATCTAATAGTCTTGAGAGAAAAGACATTCATTTGTGATTTTTACTTCATTAATGTGAGATTAATGATGGTGTAACTAATTGCTATAAGTGTCACTAATTAGTCTGTTTATTTTTGTGTTCGTTTTTGTAACAACAACAAACCCCCCCCAGAGGGATAATTCAAAGGGGGCATTATGAACTAAATAACACTCATAGTGGGAAAATCATATAACAAAAACCTCAAATTGAAAGGGAAATGCTTTAGAAACATTAATTTTATAATATGAAGTTTCAATAAATAACATCTAAAAATGAACAAATATTATAAAACATAAGACAAAAATCCTGCATGCTTTAGGAGATACCAGATGTGCAAGACTGAGAAAAAGAGAATAACATAACACTACTGCACTTCAGCGATGTGTGAACACAGCTTTACAAGATATCAAGCTGTTGCTGTAATTTTGGAGTCATTTAAAACAAATGAATTTGAGATGCCTGAAGGCACTGTTTCATTTGGAAATAATAATGCTACATGAACAAACAGTGCTGCCAGAGTAAAGCACATCACCATAGACATCTGTCTTACTTTGAGTAATATTTAAAAAGCCATTTTCTGCCATTTTTAAAAATGTTTAAGGAAACTTAATTTGCTTTGATAACGCACAATCAGGACTTCATTCATTTTAATCAAAGCTTCCTCTGTATAAGGGATTTGAGCCACTCATTTAAGCAAGCCAAGTTTGTTTACCATTAACCATCAAGACTGGATGGGCAGGCGAACTTGTGAAATAATTTTCTTAATGTATTTCAGTTTCCAGTCTGACATTGGTCAGACAAACAGTAAACAGAATGTCATAATGACTTGTTATGTTGGGTACACACTGCACAATTTTTTTAAAAAGATTTATTTTTGGCATTTTTGCCTTTTATTAGAATAGGACAGTATATATTGACAGGAAACAAGTGGGAGAGAGAGGGGGGCAGGATTGGGAAAGGACCACGAGCCGGGACTCGGGTCGCCCACTGCCCACAAGGCCATCGGCGCAGACCACACTGCACGATTTCAGCACCGATTATCACTCGCCAACAGTTTTGTGGAAATCACTGACAAAAGCCCCAAGTCAGAGGCATATCAGCACTCGTTCATGTGAATGACAGTTGTGTAGTGCGTATTTTCAGAGACGCGTTTAGAGTGAAGCACAGATTTGCCGTTGATGCCCCTGAGATATTTAGGTGTCAGTACCGGTACCTTCTCCGACTCCTTTCTGCCACTCACCTGTGCGCTGTCACTGGACTCGTTCACTTGACCACATCTGGCAATCACATTGAGGAGATTCGGTTTCTCCTTGTTCACTCTCCCTCTCTGACTAATCTCACCTCCACGCTAAGGCGTTTCTATTGGTCAGAACCGGCTCAGGAGGCCTTTGAGAGATTAAAGGGCCGCTTTGTTTCAGCCCCTATCCTTAGGAATCTGGACCCGTCTCGCCAATTCGTACTGGAGGTGGATGCATCAGAGGTGGGAGTTGGGGCTATTTTGTCTCAGAGATCACCCGCTGACGACAAAATACACCCTTGCGCCTTTTTCTCTCATCGCCTTACCCCCTCGGAACGGAACTATGACATCGGGAATAAGGAGTTACTGGCTGTTAAGTTGGCGTTGGAGGAGTGGCGTCACTGGCTGGAGGG